ATAATAATAATAAGTTTTTGACAAATTTTAATTTTTTACTATGAATTTTTATTTTTTTTTCTAAAAATTCTAAAACCCACTATTTTTTGCGACTTTGCCAAATTTCCAAAAAATCTCGGAATCTGTGATTTTTGTTTTTTGCAGTATTGTCAAATTTCAACTTTTTTATAAAGGTAAATTTAGTTACATCGCATTATTTTGAAATCTTGAAAATTTGTCTCGCCATTTTTTATTATTATTTGTATACATGGAGTTTGTAGACTTCATGAGTAAGACGTTGCCACAGATAATTCAATCTCTTGTGTTATGAAGTTTAACAGAAGTCTGGCCAATCAAAATTTTGCTTTTACATTACCACCCTTGCTTTTTTAAGGGGGGTTTCTACTTTGTTAGGTTAAAAACAATAACATTTTAAGTAAATAAACCAAATGAGATTGAACAGTTTTTAACCTATAGATGTTTGTGCATCAAATAGACTAGAATTAACACGCTTTAACATTATCAATTGTATTTATGTAGGTGTTTAGACTTTCTACCCAATAGTAGTTGAAACCCCCCTTAACAACTATATCATTTTCATGTATCTAAACTATCGAATATCAATTAGTTTCTGACCAAAGATAACCACCAAATTTTTTAGGGGCACTTCCAAATAGAATCTATCTCCACTCAAAAAAATATATCATGCCCCTTTTTTTAACTTTTACCTTTAGAAATTAAAAAAAACACATTTATACAAAAATTTAGACTGCTTGCAATGTATTGTAGATCACTAGTCATTTTTATACTTAACTACAACCACAAGAAATCGCAAAAGTACCTTGAATAAGATTTTAATTTGTATTAAATTATTTATAGAATTTTGAAGGTACTTTATATACAGGGTGTTTCACATTCGTGGACCATTAGAAGTTTCTGGAGAACAAAAAAAGATATCGATTTGAAATTTTAAAAGCGTTTATAATCCATTTAAAACTATTTTTCTAAAATATTTTGAACAAAATTCCACTTCCGGTTTAACCGGAAGTGACATCAACTTTGTTATTTCAAATAGAACACCCCATATATTTTTTCATTTTTAAGTTCTACATAAAATTCTGAGTAAAATTACTATACCATGTCCTATACCTAAAGTGAATAGTTTTCAAGTTATTAATTTTTTTCGTTAAAATTTGACAAATGCTCGGCAATCAAAAATAGCCTATAACTTTTTTGTTATTAGGTTTGCGAATATGGGGGTGGAATTTTTGGAATCCTAAAACATTGTTTAAAAGATTACATGTTAATCTTTAACATTTTTTAACAAATTACCTAACAAAACCCAGGGCAAATTAGGCTAACTTGAAAGGTTAATAACTTTTTTATTTTAAATGTAACACCCGGTATGTTTTTACATAATCACATAGTAAATTAAAAAATCTTTCGTTTGATGTTACTATTCCCTATACCTAAAGTTAATAATTTTAGAGATATTTAGCAATTTCTAAAATTTTAAATATTATTTTGTATCAAGAAACCTGTGACGGGTGAGTTGACGGTATCTATGGTTACCACGTAATCTCTCATTGTTTAAAATTTAATGGCGTCAATTTATAGTTTTTTAAATAATTTGTTAACTAATTAAGTGTTTTGAAAGCGAAATTACTGATAAAAAAAATAGCAGTCACTGACTCATAAAAAACATTGACAAGCCAAACATTTTTAAAATTTAAAAGTAATAACCCAAAAAATCAACAAAACTGTAGGATGTCTTCTACATGAAGCACTAGCTTATTGAAGACATTAAAAAATTAAATGCCAACCTGATTTAATAATTATAAAATATTTTAATAATAAAAAAAATTTAATAAACCAACAATTAACAATTTTTATTACCAATAACCTATCTAATTTTTAATAAATGTTCAAAGTGTCCTCCATTTATATTCAAGCATTTTCTAATTCTCACTTCTACATTTGACGTTGCTTTTCCTAACTCTTCTGGGTCTAATTCTTGAAAAGCAGCCTGGACACGGTTTCGTAGTTCGTCTTTTGAACGCAGTGGAGTTGTGTTAGTGTACACTTTATTTTTTATAGTCCCCCATAAATAAAAATCCAAAGGCGACAGATCTGGAGATCTTGCAGGCCATGACCACGGACCCAAACGACGAAACCATCTGTCTTCAAACATTTGGTATAGCTCTCTACTTACAGCTTCAGTACATTGAGCTGGTGCTCCGTCTAGCTGATACCAGCATTCTACAGCTTCATTTAACGGTAAATTGTCTACGAAATCATCAACTACTGTTCGTAATATTTCTAAATATTTTTGACTAGTCAATGCCTCATCATAAATGTAATAAGCCAGGGTGTTGTCTTTTATTAATGCAAATACGTTAAAACTAAATTTTACTTGAAAATTCTGTTCTTTGGTTAAGTGTGGATTTTCATCACCCCAGAAGTGATTAGCTCTAGTATTGAAAATGCCTTCTCTGGAAAATTTGGCTTCATCAGTCCAAATTACTTTTTTCTTAAAATTTTCATCTTCTTGAATTTTTACCAAGAACATTTCACAGAATTCTACTCTCGCAGCGCCATCTTGAGGGTGCAGATGCTGCACTTTTGTAAATTTGTAATCATGCCATTTGTACTTCTTTAAAATACGATGCACCGACGAGACTGAAACACCCAGATTATCTTGAGCGCTTCGAATTGATGCTTGAGGATAAGCGCGGAAGTACGCCAAAACATTAATTTCTGTTTCTTCGTTACTGGTTATAGGATGAGCTTTATTTCTTACGGCATTTTGTCTTCCACGTGCCTCAAAATTACCGTAAATTCGCCGAAATATTTTTGGTGTGATTGCACGCACATTTGGATATCTTGTGTTAAAAGTTCTGCAAGTTCTCGTTACAATTTTACTGCACTCTCCAAATATTGCAAAGAGGTTGAGAAGGTCAATATTTGTGTATTCTTGATTCATTTTTACAAAACACTTAATTAGTTAACAAATTATTTAAAAAACTATAAATTGACGCCATTAAATTTTAAACAATGAGAGATTACGTGGTAACCATAGATACCGTCAACTCACCCGTCACAGGTTTCTTGATACAAAATAATATTTAAAATTTTAGAAATTGCTAAATATCTCTAAAATTATTAACTTTAGGTATAGGGAATAGTAACATCAATCGAAAGATTTTTTAATTTACTATGTGATTATGTAAAAACATACCGGGTATTACATTTAAAATAAAAAAGTTATTAACCTTTCAAGTTAGCCTAATTTGCCCTGGGTTTTCTTAGGTAATTTGTTAAAAAATGTTAAATGAATTAACATGTAATCTTTTAAACAATGTTTTAGGATTCCAAAAATTCCACCCCCATATTCGCAAACCTAATAACAAAAAAGTTATAGGCTATTTTTGATTGCCGAGCATTTGTCAAATTTTAACGAAAAAAATTAATAACTCGAAACCTATTCACTTTAGGTATAGGACATGGTATAGTAATTTTACTCAGAATTTTATGTAGAACTTAAAAATGAAAAAATATATGGGGTGTTCTATTTGAAATAACAAAGTTGATGTCACTTCCGGTTAAACCGGAAGTGGAATTTTGTTCAAAATATTTTAGAAAAATAGTTTTAAATGGATTATAAACGCTTTTAAAATTTCAAATCGATATCTTTTTCCGTTCCCCAGAAACTTCTAATGGTCCACGAATGTGAAACACCCTGTATATTGGGGTGCTTCAAAAAAATTTTTTTTCGCTCTTACCCTCTCAAATGTTTTTATTTAATATAAAAAAAATCCCCACCAAATATGGGCGTTCCAGCTCAACTCTAAGAGGTTGCTGTTTTTATTTTAGTTTCCCATTGAATTAACATGGGAAAAAATTAATTTATGTTTGGAATTTTATACCTCTGTATCAAAGTAACGTATGGCAATGATCATTGCAGCTTCTTATATAAAATTTAACGCTCTACAAAAAAGGTCTCTTATTATTTTTCGATAAATTGATTTCTTCTAGAGTTATTCGAGGTGAAAGTTTGATTAACATTAAATTTTCTGGTACAATTAGCAGACGGGAGGTGAAAGGGGGAAAACTTTGACCTCGAATAACTCTAGAAGAAATCAATTTATCGAAAAATAATAAGAGACCTTTCTTGTAGAGCGTTAAATTTTATATAAGAAACTGCAATGAACATTGCCATAAGTTACATTGATACAGAGGTATAAAATTCCAAACATAAATTAATTTTTTCCCATGTTAATTAAATGGGAAACTAAAATAAAAACAGCGAACGTCCATATTTGGTGAGGATTTTTTTTATATTAAATAAAAACATTTGAGAGGGTAAGAGCGAAACAAAATTTTTTTTGAAGCACCCTAATATATATATATATATATATATATATATATATATATATATATATATATAGCGGCTATATATAGCCATTTAATATCGATTTTACAACGTTTTGTATTATTATTAAATAAAGTCAATTCAATTTTACTAAATACCTCTAATAAATAAGGCAGCTTTAATAAAATAAATAAATACATACATGTATGTATACAGTCATTAAGCTATATAATACAGCCTGTGTGGACAAATATTTTTCCGAGTTAATTTTACGAATAACTTTATTTGATTTATAATTGCAACCCTGCAACTCAAAACATATTTTTGATAGTTTTATAGAATACCCCTGAAATATTCTCCACCCTGAATATGACTGTACTAAAAATAGGAAGATATGTTTATAAAGATTTTTGTTAATATGTTATTTAATACAACATATTTATGAATATATCTTCTTGAAAGGATAATAAAAAGTATTTAAAATATTTAATATTTCTTTCTATTTCATAAAAAACGATACTTTTTTTAAATTTTATATTAATTTATTTTGTTAACATAAAAGTTATGTTATTAATTTATTGTTGTTGTGTATGTTATATTTTATATTTAATGTTAGGCACTTTTTACCAAAAGCTTTGTAATTAAACTATGTACAAATTTAATTAAAAATGTTTTATTTATCAACTTAAATCTGGTACAATAACTTTTGATAGTTTATAAAATGCTACATTCTCATCTGAACAAATCGCAAATATATCTTTTTCAGAGCACTTTATGTCTTCTGTAAAATCAATATTATTTCTGAAAAAAATAATAATAAATTAAGTATTTTATTAATACATCAGTCCCAGATTTTAGGACACCCTGTATAATAAATTGGATATGAATATGAGAATTACCTTTGTATTATCCTAAATTCATAATTATTTGAATTATTTTTTGTAGAAAAGGCAAAATATTCTACTTCTAAGTCTGTTTCCACATTTCTAAAACTTGTGGGTGCATTTTCTTGGATTCTCTTAAAAATATCGTCTATTTTTTTTATTATAATTTCTTCTTTTGATTGTAGCACCTTTAATTCTTCTTCTAACTCATCAATTTTTATTTTTTTACCATCATTTAAGTTACTTTCTGATTTTCTTTTATTACATTGCTTTTTGAGTTTTCTTTTGTGCTCTATGAGGTTAATTACTTTATAACCTTGCAAAACCAGTTTTTTGTACACCAAATACTTATTTGAATTATAGCCAGTCAAATTAATTACCATATTGTACATATCCTGGATACTAAGACAATTCTCATCAATTTTTATTTCAAGTCTGTTCTAAAGAGTAAAATATGTTAATTAAATTTAAATACAAACAAAATTTACCACTTACGGTTTCCATTAAAAACAATACTTCCTCTGGATACAAAAAAATACCACTTTTATCTTGAAAACCAAAAGAATTCAGCAAATTTCTAGCAACCTTGGTTACCTTTCCTAAACTCAATTCTTTCACCCATACTGCTTGTGATCTTGCATATCTAAATAAAATAAACAATATTTAAATATCTTATGGTTAAAATATACCTTTTTTCAACCCTTAAGTGCCCCAAAACCTTCTTAAATCCATCCAAATGTTCTTCAGTATACTTTAGATCATCAGATTTCAAAAATAGCTTCGTCGCGGGTAAATTAAACTTTACCAGGGAATTTTTGTGATCTTCTATGCACTTTTTGGCCCTACAACACACACAATAAGACGTTTATTTTGGATTATTTGTAATATCTGACAGCTCTTCCATTGTTGAGGTTATGTTGGGTATTTTTGGGGGTTAGGTTCAGTGTTGACAACTGAGAAAAATAAATACATTTTGTTTATTTTTTATTTATTAATGCTCCATTTTAAAGTAATTCAATACAAAAATTATATAAAAGCTTTGTGAATTATTAATAATTATAATTAATAATTTGTTAAATTGCGAATATGGCTAGTTTTTTAAATTTTATTAATCTTTATCTAGGTTGGTTGTACTGAATATCTGTCAAATTTTATCTTAAATCGAGTAAGATGAATTTTTAAATGAAAATGTTGTAAAATGGCAAGTATATTGCAGGAGAAACTACTGGAAGCTTCTTGTGTAGGTGACATTGAAGCGGTTGCGGCACTTTTAAGTCAAAATACCGACATAAACGGCAAAAACATCGTGAACGGATGGTAAATATCGATCGACTCAAAAAGTGAGGTTATGACCGAATATTTACTTTTTTAGGACTGCTTTGCATTGGGCCTGTAAACGGAATAACGAAGAAATTGTGAGGATTTTGCTAAATAGCGGGGCAAATAAAGATACTGTTAATAATAAGGGTGAAAAACCGGTTGATGTGACAACTTCGGAGAGTATTGTTGGTTTACTGGGAGGCACTTTGAATAAATCGACTGGGAATCATTTTGACGAGGAAGTGGGTGTAAGATTTTCTCCCAATTACTTGAAAAATGCTCCCCTCAATGGGCAAGTTGATATAGGGAGGTTGAGAAGCAAGCATACCGATTTTTCTGCCATGCAGACCACGGCTTTGCCAGCTGCACAAAATGACGGTAAATATACGTTCTGAAAAAACATAAATCGTTTCTATTTATGTTTTTTCAGATTTGGTGCTGCTACTGCGCCGCCATGGCTCCACTGATCCAGATTTCATTGAAATCGAAATTCCAAAGTGGAAACTTACGTACAACACGTTACTAAAAATTTGCTGCGAAGAATTGGAGGTTTTTGAGGGCCAGGTGGAAAGAATCAGAAAACTCCCAAACACCCGGTTAAGAAAAGACACCGACGTTAAACGTCTCCTCAACGGGCAAGAACTGGAGATCGTTTTGAAAACTCCAAACGGTGAGAAAACAGCCAACTGCTATCAAAGCATATCAACCTGCAAAAATCAGACTATTTTGTACTAAATTGACGCTTTTATTACACTCATTAGAGGCTTGTAGCAGCATTTTTACTATTACACTAGGATTGATACTTAATGTACATTTTGGGGTGAAATAAACGTTATGGTTTTTGTTAAATAAAACAAAAATATGAAAATTATGTATTTTTATGGATCTCTTTTAACATTCTAAATACTGGTCAAAGGTCACAAATAGTGATGTGAAGGAGGGAATGTTCTCGATTGGGCTCGGAGAAGCTTCGCGAAGCTTCAAATAAATTTCCGCGCACTTTCCCGGCCTAGCATTTTGGAGCACAATCGAGAAGCTTCCCTTGAATATACTCAAAAATTCTTGGATCTATTGGCTTAGATTCTTGGCCCTAGAATAAAAATCAGTGGGACAATGATTCAATTTACTTCGGTTTGCTTTAAAAAATATTTTGTTTTGTTTTTATATATATTACGTTTACCGGTTTAATAATATATATTATATACCGCAGTTTGGGTATATTTTTTCCAAGTGATATTTTTGTTATTTTTTCCAGTACCTACCTATAAATTTCCATTATATTTAATTTTAGAGTGTTTTTTTAACTAATTTGATGAATGAGATTCAGGATTGTTTTTTAAAATAATACCATAATTTTTAAATTTTTGACTTAAAAAGAAGATAAATAAAATGCCCATTGACAAAATTTCAAGTTTATTTTTCCTCGCGGTTTGTAAAAATATTTTTTTTAAATTTGGTTTTATATATGCATACATTTTCATTAATAATCTATAGATTTAAAACATTTATTTCCAAAAGCCGCGTGGAGAAGGAACATAAAATTTTGGCAGTGATCATTTTATTTATTCAACTTTAAAAGATGACATTTTCATAACAAACATTTAAAAATTATCGTATTATTTTGAAAAACGGTCTTGATTCTCCTTAAACCATTTGTATTTACTCTGTGTAGCTTAAGAAGACTGAGTTTTGTTCCCTTATTATAAGTTATAACTTAAGTTAACTTAAATTTAAATTATTTTTGTTATTAATATGTTTTTTATGTATCTATTCGATTAAACCATTTAAATTAAGTTTTTTTTTATAAAGAAAAGATTTTAATACCCAGAAAAAAGGTAATCTTTTCGAGAATATTGAGAATCTTCTCGAGAATATTGAGAAAAATAAGAATCTTCTCGAGAATATTGAGAAAAATAAGAATCTTCTCGAGAATATTGAGAAAAAACGTGCAACGTCCTAATTTGATCATGCTGTTAATAAATTCCCGGGAATTTCTCGTTTTTGCTCGTTTATTCTCGTTTGTGCTCAACTTTCGTTTCCCAAAAATAAATGCTCGAGAATTTTACATCTCGTCACAAATATCTCGTTTTCTACGCGTCAAATGTTTGACGTTTTAAATTTTGTTGTTTTTTTCTACAACTAGCTTTGCAAAAATAAGATTTTATTAATATTTCCCTTTCAGGTATTGTATTTAAGTGTCGGAAAAAACGGGAAACATTTGGGAAAAACCTGTTTTTTCAGGCCTTGGAAAAATTGATTTTTTTTCTGGAAATATACAAAGCAATCAACAACTTAACATTATTTTAATAAATACATTGAATATAGAAAAAATCATTGAATTGATTTAAGAAAATAAACATAAACGTTAAATATACTGTCGGTATGGTCTTTTTTGCAAAAGGGAGTCCATGGAAAATTAGCATTTACAAAATATTGAATGATTTATAAAGTTAAATTACAAAATTATAATTTTATAAATCGATGTGTAAAATAAAACGATAGTTATGTTAATACAGCACCAAATTTGTTTTTTTGCAACCCGGTGGAAGATTCTTACTGAATTATAATAAGAATAATTATTATAATCAAGTATTATATGATTATAATCAGATTCGAAAATCCACTTTTTTCTTGATATCAGTGTACATATAATTGAAAATTTTCAGAAAAATTGACCTTTTAATTTTTTTGTATTAAATAAAATGAAGAGTGCAAAAATCAATTTTTCTGAAAATATCCCAAAAAAAAACTTTTTTTCCGCCGGCTCAATTTTTCGGGAAATTTTAAAACCCTAATTGTATTTAACTAAAATTACAAACTTTATAAAGCATTTAAACCATAACGGTTATTTTGCGTCACAAGATGGAAGTACAAAATATTTATTGCGTAAATTTTTTTCATAGGGGTTCCTTGATAAAATTAAAGGCAATAATCAGCTGTGCCATTATAGTAATGTTATTTAGCTTGAAAATATTAAATTATAAAGGTTGTTTTTTGGTTTGACTGAACTTTTTTTAAATACCATGTTTTATTCAACCCTGTCATACCAAAAACACCCTTTATAACCATTGAGTAGCAATATTTTAAAGTTGTTACATCTCAGTGATAATATTGTATATAAATAAAACGCTTTATTTTTTAGACACAATTTTGCACTCCACATAAACTAAACTAAAGGCGCAACCAAAGAAAAATACTTTTAATTGATTAAAATGCGTAATAAAATATTTATTATTAACAAGTAAACGATTTTTATTTCTGAACCTTCTTCTTTTTGGGGACCACCTTAACAGGACTCTTTTGTTTTTTCACCATGTTGCCTTTTTTCGCCTTCTTTTGCTGCCGAGGTTTGTTGTCGTTCTCACTTTGAGGTAATTTCCTTTTTTTATTCTGCTTATCGTCGACTGTTTTATTAGCATTCTCCTCCTGTACAACAATTTCGTTCTTGTTTTCGATAGCCTTCTTCTTCTTGTTCTTGATCGTCGCATCTTCTTTCTGCGTCTTCTTGATGTCGGCCAAAAGATCGTCAATTGTTATTTCGTCGGGGTTGCCTTTTTCATCGTCATTCTTGATCACTTTAACGTTACCTTCCCTGGATACAATCACATCAGCGTTGGTTACCGTGGAGAGTTCGCCCCTTACCCTTTTAGGAGTGTTAATTTTGTTAGGTTTCAGTACTGGCACCTGTACTTCATTTGGATCTTCTGAAACATAGGAAAAAGTCTCTTTGTGGTGAACAATAAATGCAACGGAACTTTACATTTTAAAGTTTAAACTCTATTTTTGACATTTTTAAAATGATTTTTGGCATTCTTACATAGGTTAAACATTCTAAAAAGTGAATTAACTTGTTTTTTGACATCCTAAGAAGTATTTTGAATGTTTTTTGATATTCTTAAATACTTTCAACATTATAAAATGTGATTTGACTCTGATTTTGACCTTTTAAACTCTGTTTATAGTGTGTTTTTGAAATTCTAAATTTTAAAAAGTAGTTTTTTTTAATTTTATAAATACTTTTAACTTTGACATTTTAAGATGTTATAACATTTTAAAATGTTTAGGTTTAAACAATTAAATTTTTATTTTATTTTAATTTACAACGTGATTTGACTTTTTAACATTCTAAATTGTTTTTAACATTCTTAGGAAGTAATAACATTCTAAAATGTGTGTTAACATTCTTAGGGTATGTTCCGTAAATACACACGAGTTACCGGTCTGGTTACTGAAATAAATTCCTGGTTTTCTCGGTTAGTTCATATTTAAGGCCGTATTACAGCCGGCAATTCTTTCGGCAATTGCAATGAAAATTGCCATAGGCATGCGCGGTTGAGACATTTCGACGAATCTCTTGCAATTGCCGAAAATCGGTCCGGAAGGATTTTTATTGCCGTTTCACGGCAATTCTGGGGTGAAATCTGGTAACTTTTAACAGTTTAAGGTTATTTGTTTTATGATTGACATTTTGTTCAAAGTTCTAGTATCCATTTTACTCATTAATTTTTAAATATCTCTACTAAATAACAAATAAACTTGATGTTTACAAAATCGTATATTTTTCTTCGGTTGGTAGCACGGTAATAAACAGCAAGTTTTCTTGCCATTGCCGGCTGTAAAACAACATGCAAGACGGCCTTGAAAACTAGATGGCAAGAAAAATTGCTGCAAGAAAAATTGCTGCAAGAAGAATTGCCGGCTGTAATACGGCTTTTACGGGACACCTTTATTTGAAAAAACATAACCCAACTTACTTTTTTTGTTATTTTAAAATATCTCATTTGACTATGCAACCTCCATTAATTTGTGAATCCAAAGGCTTTGTTATCTATGCAAAGGACTTGCAAAGTTTTTAAGATTTTTTATTGAAACTTTTATTTGTGTCAAAAACTACAACTTGCATATATTTTTAATAATATTTCTATAGTTACATAAACAAACCTAAAACACCCTATATACTGAATTCAATTATTTTTGGACAAAACGTATTTTGTATGCGAAGTCTGCTCCTGTGTTAAATTTTTAGGTTAGATAACCAACAAAAAACAGTAATTTTGTTTAGGGCAACACTGTTTCCATTTGGTTTGCAGCACTGGTAACCGATTTAACCGATTATACAGCGTCGGTCGTTTCCAGGGTGGAAGAAGGAGGTGATATCGCTTCTATCTCTTAAGTACAGAAGCAGCGTCCACATAAGTCAGTATTTCGTTCGTTGTTCGTTAGATGGCGAGTCAACGAAATCCATATATTCTATAACAACTTAACTTTTAACAACAAATTATAAGATAACCAAAACCCAAGGAGAGTCACAGAACATAAGAGTCTTCTACCCTCTTACCCTTACCCTTCTTACAGCATTATTATAATAATTTGCAGAACGATTGGCAATACTGTAGTATTGCCAACTGTTCTACCAAAATGCACAGTCGCCAAAAACGCACAAAAGTGACGTTGAAATGGTTTTATTTGAATTTTAATTAAGCTTAGTGGTCTATTCTTTAAAGTTAATCAATGCAATTTTACTAAAAATGGGAAAAGTTTGTTATGCACCGGGATTAAAACAGGTTCCACTTCAATGCGCCAACTATACAGACATTTAACAAATACTGACTTATCTGGGCGCCTTCAACGACGGAGTTGAATCACCTCCTTCTTCCACCCTGGTCGTTTCGGTTACCGAAAAATAGGTTCACCAATCGTTACCGAAATTCGGTAACGATTGGTGAACCTATTTTTCAGGAACCGCGTTTCTTAACTACATAATTTTCAGGAATTTTTCATTTACGGGACACCTTAACCGAAACCAAACCAAACCAACCAAGTTGATGGAACATACCCTTAAATGTCACATTACAATTCTTATGCATTGGGTTTGTGCTGTTTACACAGATTAAAAATCGTTTTAAAATGTGTGTTTCTTGTAGGTAAGCCTTAAATGAGGCGTAATGAGTGCCAAGGCAACCATTTGACTCCTCTTTTGTAAAAAATAAACCTTATTCTATTAGGGCTGTCAAATATCAATTTTAAGGTTAATTTTTGGGTAAATTAACCTTAAAATCAGTGTTGCCAAAGTGTGAGGATTTCCTCACGTTGTGAGGATTTTATGCGTTTGTGGGGAATTTGTGAGGGTTAGGTAAAATGTGAGGATTTTGTGAGGATTTCGTATTTTTTCTTCTTGAAAAAACTTATTAAAGACGTAAAAATAATGATATATTCTTACAAAGGTATGCAACCAAGAATGTTTCTTATAGGAAAACAATGTATGAATTAAGCCGGATTTATAGTTTTAAAGGTAACGGTAGAGGCAGCGGTAAAGGTAGAGGTAAAGGTAGCGGTATCACTTTCATTAATCTAAAACCTTATTTGGCATTCACTATATTTTAAGAAAAATAAAAAAAAAGATGGCCCCGATCAAAGTTTTACTTTATTTGGGGCAACTTTGATCATGCCTTAATTTTGCTCTTATAACTAATGAAACCCCGTTCAATTATAATATAAATTTAAAAAAATTAAAATTTTTAATTATTTACTTTAAAAATAACATATTTGCGTAAAAAAACAACCAGAAATTAAGAAATAAATACGCTTTTATTGATCATGCTGTATACTAGAAATTTCTGAAGCTTTATAAAATATAAAAACAAAAAAGTAAACTTTATTACATTATAGTACGAGAACCGCGGCAAAACTCACCACGATGTTTACACCCTCGTTAACGTGTGACAACTGTAATATGATGGGTTAAAGCGCGCCAAAAAATTTTTTCTAGGGCAGTAATTCAAAAAAATAAAAGTTCTGACATGTGTAATCAAAGTTGCCCCACAATTATCATTGTAGCCCCAGTTGACGGTACCTATTTCTACAATTTAACTAACCCTTTCACAATTATTTAATACCTATTACAAAACTCGAAAAAATTATTTAACATTTTTTAATTGGGAGGATTTTGTGAGGATTTTCAAATTAAGGCGGGTAAAATGTGAGGATTTTCAGTACTGGATGGGGGTAATTTCATATTTTGTGATTGGCAACACTGCTTAAAATTGACATTTGATAGTTTGATGACAGCCCTGATAGAATAAGGTTTATTTTTACAAGAGGAGTAAAATGTTTGCCCTTGGCACTTTAAGGCCTCTTTTAAGGCTTACAAGTGCCTCTGTAAGAAGCACAACGTTTAAAACGATCCCTTTCTTGCTGTTCGTAAACATCGATTTCTTAACATGTATGTTCACCCAACGACAAGCCAAACATTACCTATGTTTAGGGGTATTCCGTTTCTCATATGTTGAGAGTCTTGACCTTGAATCTTTCTGAACAGCGATAAATGTTTTTAGGACAGGGAGTTTCTTAGTTTTATAACCTAAAAGTCGCAGACTAAACTAATATTGTGTTAGATAATTGTTTTAAACATCATTGGTGATATTTAATATATTAAATGAACTTAAAAACAATTTGGGAAAATCCACAAATTCTAAAAATACCTACTTGGGAAAAACGTTTTATGCTGAACTAGCCAAAGCACAGATCTTCTGGCGGGGCCATTAAGTCCATCCTTATATGGAAAAAGGTAATCATAAAATATCTTAAAATAATTATTTGTTACTTATTTTTACACACTTTTAGTGTATTGAAAATGGCACATATGTGAGAAATGCGTAGTTTTCTCCATATGGAGACTGGCAATGTCGGGGAGCCAGTAAAACAACTTAAGTACTTTAAGGATAAATTACTAGCCCCAATAGAGGAAGCGCTGTGAAAGTTAGTGGTGGAGGGTAAGGTGGAGGTAATACCATCGTTGGAACTCTTCATTGACCATCCTTTAAGTTCGAGTGGAAGGGTGCCTGCTACAACAGGGACGCATAAAGAGAAAGTCCAACTCAAACTCTGACGAGTAGTGAAGGTGCAGAGGTTTTACAAGGTATTGATAAAACCTAAAAGATTTTAAAATTAAACCAAAAAGTTTTAGCTCCCATGTGAAGAAAAATAGTTTTTAGATGCATATTTTTTTGTATTTTATTAGTTATACTTTTCTTTGACTAATATTTTGTCTATATTTTTGAGTAATAATATTACATAGGTATTTGATATTTTATATTTGTTGTATTTTTTTAATAAAATATATTTTTCCAAGTTATTTTTTATTCCTCCCCCCAAATTCTCTCTTCACACTCAGATTTTTTTAATTTTCTGTTTTTCTCTAAATAAATATTTATTATTATAATAAAATTATATAAAAAAAATTAGTAAAGCAAAATTTGTATTCTGGTATTATAATTAGGAAATACATTTTAATAATTAAAAAACAAATCAAACATATTTTTAAAATTACCAAAAAATATATTATTATTTGTTTGGTGTAAAACCTTATATGATTATTTAATTATTTATCATTTATAATTATAATTAATTAGGGACGTATTAATTATGAAAAAGTAATTAATTTATAATTACTATGCTTGATAATGATACTGTACTGTATACTGTACCAAACATCGCCGCAATTTATGATTAATGCAAGATAAAAAACCTTAAATATTGTCTATAACAGCACCTCTTAGGCAAGCGTTCGTAAACATACGTTTTCAAACATCATGTATGTTCACCAAACATCGAATTTTGGAAACGGAATAGCCATTTTAACACCGATGATGTTTATAAACATGGATGTTTAAGAAATTCTTCGAGCGCATGCGTCTATAGACGAAATAATTGAAAGGGAATAGGCTCATATGTTATGAAACATATGTAGTTCATGAACATGCATGTTTAGCGAAAGGGAATAGGCCTCTTAATCTGTATAAACAGCAGAAACCCAAGCACAAGAAAAAAACATAAAAATAACCGCCGATAAAGTATTTGGGTTGCCTAACTTGAAGTTAGTAACTTCATGATTTTTACAAGATAGAATCTTGTTGTGAGGATTGTGAACAAAAAAAGTACTTACTTGTGTCTAAATAAATGGGGATGGGAGTGGCATGCTGCGTGAAAATCTGCATAAGTTTTATATTGTTGAACCCCCCAGGAAACTGTTTATCCAAGCCTTCAATCAAACTGAAAACATTTTCAACCAAATCCTTGGTATCCATATCACTGTGTCCAAACTGAATGGTGTAAGAATCCCCATGTCCAGTCACATTAAACTGAGTCTTCAATAATGAAGCATCAATGTGTTTTTTGAGCTGAGTGCACCACAGTTTGATTGGGTTTGGTACTTTCCTTTTTTTGTAGAAAATTTTGCCACACTTTCTCACAACTTTACCAGCAATTTTGCCTTCAACCAGGAAATAATCATACAAATCTACAAGTCTGTTTTTGAGTTCTATAGTTTCATATTCAGTTCTAAACTCATGGAAGGTCATTATTTTCTTGATGTTTTTAACACCCTTTTTCGTTAATAGCTCTTCATATTTCTCCAAATGTTGATCGTGGTCCTTATTTTTTAGCCCTTTTATGTCAGCCACAATTAAACACACATCATCATCAGCAGTCAATGTGGAATTTTTTAGCGGAATACGAACCAACCTAGTTTGACCCCTGTGGATTTTAAAACAACCCATTTGCAAGAGTAGTGGTAATTTTTCACCAAAAAGTTGATTTTTCATTTTAGGGTTTTCTCGCACAAATTTAATTACCCCTTTGATAGCCTCTTCAATGTTTGATGATTTAATATTATATTTTTCCTCCAGTTCCGCAAACTCTGTTTGTGCAGGTTTTTTTGGCGTCTTTCCTTTTAATTTTTTGGTTTTGAGGGTTTTAAGCTCAGATTTGGGTGTTATAGGTTCTGATTTGGGGGTTTTAGCTTCAATTTTGGGTGTTTTTGCAACTGCAACTTTTGGGGTCTTAACAGTTTTGTCTTTAGGTGTTTTGGGTTCTTTTTTGGGAGTTTTTGTTTCCTCCTTAACTTGTACAATGTCACTAATACTGTTCTTACATTTGGGAGTTTTCTTAGTTTCCTCAACAATCGCAATGCTTTGCCTACGCTTGAGAGCTTGTTTTTTGGGCGTCTTACCCTGATTTACTTGCAAATCTTTAACAACTTGCGCTTCGAACGCATTTATAGTATTCCTTCTTTTAGGCCCATCTTTAACAACTTGTATGTCAATAATATTAATCTTGTTTTTACCTTTCGGCGAAGTTTTCTCATCTTTAACGATTTTCTTCGGAGTTACACCCACCAAATCCAACTTTTTACCCAATTTAGGCGTACCGCTCGCTAACTCAAACGCTTTCTTCAATTTCGGCGTTTCTCCTTTACTTATTTTCTTGCCTTTGAATGGAGTTGATTTGTCCTTGATAGCGGAAAGTCTTTTGTTAGCAATTGGCGTTTTTCCTGACGGAGTTCCCTTTATTTTCACCATTTTCACAAAGACAACACAAGCACATGTATTTCAAATAAGTGAGGTTAGAACGGAAAGACAAGCAGCGCTGCCAACAGTAAACAATACATGTAGCACGTTCAGTGTTGCCAACTGTGTTTATTTATTGGCCTGTGACTTACCAACATCGAACCAAAGTTAAATGATTTATAATTTTTAATTATTATTATTAATATTTTCACCAACCGCACATGAAAACCGTAATTTCAAGTATTGTTTATTAAACAATAACCTAGGTTTATTATATATATAGTAATTCTGTCAGTCCTTTATTCTTTTATTATTTCATTCTCGTTATTCTTTCATTCTCGCCATTCTTTTATTATGTAATTCTTTGATTATTCTATCCTTTCATTTTCATCATTTTTTAATTCTCGTAATTCTTTCATTCTCGTCATTCTTTCCTTTTTACATTCTCGTAATTTCTTTATTCTCGTCATTCTTTCATTTTTGTCATTTTTTAATTCTCTTTTTTCATTCTTTTAATTTTATCATTTTTTCATTCTCGTCATTCTTTCAATTTCGTCATTTTTTCATTCCCTTCCTTATTTCTTTTTTTAATTCTCCTCATCCTCGTTTTTTTATTCTCGTCATTCTTTTTATATTTTCGTCAATCTTTCATTTTCCTAATTTTTTAATTATCTTTATTTTTTCATTCTCGTCTTTTTTATTCTCGTAATTCTTTTCTCGTCATTCTTTTATTCTCGTCATACTTTCATTCTCTTCATGTTTTCATTATATCATTTTCGTAATTTTTTCAGTCTCGTCATTCTTTCATTCTAGTCCTTACTTTATTCTGGTAATTCTTTCATTTTCTTCATTTTTTCATTCTCGTCATTACTTTATTCTCGTCATTCTTTCATTTTCGTAATTTTTTAATTCGCTTAATTTTTTCATTCTCGTCTTTTTTATTCGTGTCATTCTTTCATTCTCTTAATTTTTTTATTATTTCGTTTTTTAATTCTCTTCATTTTTTCATTCTCGTCTTCTTTATTCTCGTCATTCTTTTATTCTCGTCATACTTTCATTCTCTTCATGTTTTCATTCTTTCATTTTCGTCATTTTTTAATCCTCGTCATTCTTTCATCCTCTTAATTTTTTCATTCTTTAATTTTCGTCATTTTTTCATTCCCGTTATTAAAAATATAAAAAGACCAAAATACTTTAAAAAATTTATTATGTATCATTATAAACGTTAACAGGCTTCTCCTCGATAACAATTTTAGTTTCATCGGCAGTGAGTTTCTTCATCAATCGCGCTTTCTCATCAATCAAAGCCTTCATCGAGATCTCATTCTTCACTAGTTTCTCCTGGTACATCGCGTGTATCTCCTCTCGGGTTGCTGTTGCCATCTCCATCTTCTTCTGCGCTTGCGACGGCAACATGTACTTGTGAAGCCCGAGCAGCGACTTCATCTTGTTGTTGGCTTTGAGCTCCAGTTTCAGGCCCTTCCGCAGATCGTTGGCTTCGTGCAGAAGCTGGACGTTCTCGCCCACAAGGCGCACCTTGTCCGAGCTGAGCAGGCTGGTGTTTTTGATGGCCTGTTTCTGAAGCTTGTTTGAGGTTCTCTCGAGGAACTCGCGTTGCCTCATAAACTCGTTCTTGACGTCTGTGTCTTCGGCTTGCGTCACTGTAAAATCGACGTCTGGGTTGTACTTGTGGTACATTTCCTGAAAGTTAAATGTTAAATGAGAGATGAGAGAATACACAACTCACCTTAATGGTCTTGATTAAAAGAGGGATATTCTGTATCATGCCGCTGGCATTGTGGATATCAACCCTCATCTTCTTGATGGCCTCCTTCATCTTCTGATTTTTGACCACCTCTTTGGCGCACTCGTTATTGGCAGCAGACAATTTTTCCTTCAAATCGGAAATAATCAAATCCAAATGCAAGATGACTCTCTGCAGTTTCTCCAACTCGTAAACCATCTCGTTGATTTGCTCCGCCTGCTCCATAATCGTCCTCTCTCTCGGCTCGATTTGCGATTTAAGTTCTTTGATCTTGAAGTCCAAAATGAACTTAAATTTTTCCAACTCCTGGTTTTTGCTTTTCAACTGGAATATTCTCCTCTCCTTTCCCTCTATAGTTTGGTCTCTCTCCGCTATTTCCTTCTTCAAATCCGCGATTTCTCGCTCCAAAACCATCACGCTATTTTTAAACTTCTTCAGCTCATTTTCGACGTTGAACAAGTTGTGATTGATGTCGTCATTTTCTTTTTGGGCCGCCAGGAGTTTTTTTTTTGCCTGCGAGGCTTCGCCTTTTAGTTTTACGTTCAAATCGCGTTCTTCTTTAAGTTGGGTTTCGTGCTTTACTCTTAAATCGTATATTTCCGTATCGGCATCATCCTCTATTTGCTGCTTTATCAGCTCGTGTTCTCTGTCCTTATTGGCACTTTCTTCTGTAAGCTAAATTATTAGGTATTACGAGGATGAAAAAATAAAACAATGAAATAATGAAAAAATGAAAGGATCGCGATAATGAAAGAATGACAAAAATGAAAGATTGAACGAATATAAGAATGAAATAATAAAAGAATGAAAGGATGACAAGAATGAGAGGATGAAAGGATGACGAGTATGAAATAATGAAAGGGTGGCGAAAATGAAAGAATGAAAAAATAAGGAATTGAAAGAATGAATGGATGAAAAACTAAGGGAATGAACGAATTAAGAATGAAAATATGAAAGGATGACGATAATTAAAGGATAAAAGAATTAAGTAATGAAAGAATAAAAGAATGACGAGAATAAAATAATGAGAGAATGTACATAAAAAATGAAATAATGAATAAAATAATATAAGAATAAAGGAATGAAAGGATGACGAGAATGAAAGAATGACAAAATTAAAAGGATGACGATTATAAAAGAATAAGGGAATGAATAAAAGGTTAACGAGAATGAAAGAATATACGAATAAAAGAATATACGAACGAAAAAATCAGAGGATGACGAGAATGAAAGAATATAAGAATTAATTAATGCATAAAAGAATGAAAGATTGACGAAAATGAAAAAATGAAAGGATGAAAAGAATGAAAGGATGACGAAAATGAAGAATTAAAGGATAAGGATTTTTTTTTGTATAACGAGAATAAAAGACTAAAATGTTGACGAAAATGGAAGAATAAGGAAATTAACAAATGAAATAATGCAAGGATAACAAGAATGAATTAATGAATAAAAAATAAAACAATGAATGGATGACGAAAATGAAAGGATGACGAAAATGAAAAAATGAAAGGATAACGAGAATTAAAGAATGAATGAAAGAATATAAGAATGAAAAGATAACTAGAATAAAATATGTAACCACATAATGCCTTAAGAAATATAATCATATAGCATACCTCATCATACTGCATTTCCTTGTCCTTCAACTTTTCCAAAAAATCCGCAGTAATAGTATCTTCGGAATCTTTTTTTGCCTGATCCAAATCCTCGAGCTCTTGTTGAAAGTCTTTTCTAACCTTGCTCAATCTCTCCTCAAGTTGTACGTATTTATCATATTCCACGATAAGTTTTTCGTTATAGTTTGCCTCCAACTTCATCACGTATTCGTCGTGACAAATCTCCATCGCAGCTATTTCTTCGTGAATTTTGTTGAGAACGTTCGTATGGGTGCTGTCCATTTTCTAAATCGAAGAATATTAGAAAAATATTTTACCCAGTTTACCAATACTTACATCATTTTTTTCCTTTAAATCCTCGATCGCTCCACAATAGGAAGTGTGCACATCCTTCATTTTTAAGGCATGTATGGCGTCACTTTGTCGCATCTGATACGCGTGCTCCGTCTCGGACTCCTTCAACCTCAACTGAAGCTCCCTGATCATGTTGATTTTTTCCTCGAGATTGTGCTTCGATATCAAAATCTCTTTCGACGGTTGAAAGTCAGGGTCCAGCTTGACGGTTTTTCCTTCTACGGAGCTGACCTTCCAGAAGCACAAGCTCCCGTCGTCTGAGCCAGTAATTAGCCAACGGTCGTCGAAAGATATTGCCATCTAAATTATAAAAAAAAATATATATAAATGGGTGGAAGTTTTAAATAAATAAATACCTATATGCGTACATATTTTAATATAATGAAGCTTGAGCAAATATGATTTATTACATGTTTAAAATCATTTCCTCATCTTTTTACGAACATAAATTACAATTGCAACTAACTGTTCATCTGTTCAGGATACGCGTAAATTACCCGCTTTGTTTGTTCAGTTCATATTCTCGCATTATGTATTTATTTCGACTTTTTATTTCGCTCATTCGTGTTTTTTTGTTTCTTAAATAAATCTACAACCATTAAGGTTTAAATATGAATAATGAATGACCAGAGGCACTCAACCAAAAAAATAAGTAATGTTACATAATAGACTATTTAATGGGCCCCGACAAGCTTTTAAGATGTCCCTACCCAGTAAGCACAGCGTTGATTTCAATATTTGACCAATCTCATTGATTCAATAGAAGTGGTCTATCATTGGGCAATAATTGTATGGTCCATTATTTACTTTACTTAACTTTTATGTGAAGCCCCAATCGTTGATCAATCATTGCTCAATTTTTAGCCCATTCGAATTGTTAATAATTGATCAATGAACCGGACGTAAAAATGGGCAATTATTGCACACTCCAATACGAACACGGTACTCTGGTTGATTGGCCAATGACTGGGCAATTATTAAATATTAACTACATTTATAAAAAATTTTACATATTGTAGAAATATATTTAATATCACCGAAAGAATTATCCCCAGGGATCCCTAAGGATGATTCTTTGGGTTATTTTAAGGATTTCTGTAATTGGTACAATCAATTTATTTTAATATAGTAGATATTTAATAATTGCCCAGTCATTAGCCAATCAACCGTACCGTATTCGTATAAAAAATGCCCCGTAATTGCCAGTTTCACGTTTCAGCTGATTTTTTTTTCAAAAGTAATAATTATTGTGAGTAAACAATAAAGACGCATGGTAGATATAAGACTTATTTCTACCATGACTAGATGTAGAATGTCCAGTGTTTCGCTTCGCCGCATCATAAATTGGTTCATAGTCGAAAACCAAGTTTTTTTTGTTTAAGTATTTATGGACAACAATAATCCTGTGGATTTTTTGCCACCAGTTATAGGTCTATAGACCTATAGTTGTTTCTTGTCTATTGTTACTTATCTATTGTTGGAATCTTTTTCGCATGCGCAAGTAAATTGTACACGTGACTCAGCTCTACGCTCATACTTATGTTCTGTGTACTTTATCTAATCTATGGCTCATATTCTTCGGTTACTTGTTGAAAGAAACGTGAGTTTGATCTTGGAAGTTATGTGTGTGTCTGTTTTATAGAGAATACAAAATTGGTAAGTATTAATACTAATTAGTCTAATACTATTAGAAACCAACCGCGAATTCTATAATATAACATTATAACCTATTCAGCTGTAAATTATTTTGTTTGTTTTTATTATTATAATATTTAAGTTGTTATTCATATCCATAAGTAGGTGTAAGTAATGCTTAGGCATGTTGTAGGTAGTTAAAAACGCTTGTTTGTTTGTTTTAATTATTTTTTTAAAGTAGGTAACTAGGTATAGTAAATATATGCATGTCAAAAAAGGAAATATATTTTTGGGGTTATGGGCCCGGGTTTCACAGGTAGATTATTTTCATTGCATTGGAGGTAATGATGCCGAAGATGGGGCAAATTTAATTATAAAAAAAAGTAATTATCAATTAATGCTGCCAAAAAGTTATATATAATGGAAACAAAGAAGGGGCAGTAAGACTAGAAAACACAACCTTTGAAGATGCAATTTATGGTAAATGTAAATATTTTTATGTTATAGCTTCTCTTGGTGGAAGAACAAGATTTGACCATCCAGAAGAAGACGAATTTAAAGATGTCGTCACAAAAGCCCTAAATAAATAATGGGAAACAAAGAATTAGGAATTCAAAGAATAGATCAACTCGAGCTTGATTGTGATCACATCAAGGAGCCTAATTTTAGACTTCTTGCATCAAGTCGATATCATATATGTCGGTTCGGAGGGAAAAGGGGCATAGATTTTTAACTCACTTATGTCAACCACAAAGGACCTTTGTCTGCATAACTAAAAATGTGCCCTCTTTTTAATGATAAAAAACCTTTATTTGGTTTCATATTATATAATATATTATATTATGCATGCATGCATGCATTTATTTCATTTTGCACAATTTTAAACTTATACCATTTTTCCCGCCGGACCGCCATATATGTTTAAACATTTAAGAAAGTTTGTTGTTTTTTTTTATGTACCTACATGCAATAATTGTAATTATTTTTTTTAGAGAATTAAAGTATTGAGTCAAGTCATGTCAACTGTGACACTAAATATTTGTGAAAATTTGTAATGTAAAATATTGTAGCGAGTACCGCCCTGGATATCGGAGTGATGACTCATCGCCGATTAGTCATTGCCGGTGAGTCATCGCCGGTGACTCAGCGCTCGAATAATCGAGAGTGTGGAGCTCGCTGGAATGTTCCAGAATACTTGGGCGCTGGATATATAAGAAACGGAGCAACACAGAGCAGTCAGTTAAGATTTGGTACTCGCGGCGAAATAAATAAATATAAGTGCAAATAAATAGACTCTTGAACAATAGTGATATATAAATAATTAGTAGTTAAGTGTTTAGTTAGTTTTATAGTGTTTTAAGTGTAGTTAAGTTATTAAATAAATAGTTTAGTTCGTTAATTAACCAGTGCGTGTTTTAATTCACACTACGAACAGTTAAAAACGTTACAATATTGAGATACACTGTATACAAAAAAATCAAAACATTTAAATAGTGAATAATATTATGCAGGGTGGTCTAGAATTCGTGCCCCACCGGGAAAGCACTAATAACGACCATAGAGATGCCAAAACTGGTACATAAAAAGGTTTGAAATTGACCAATCCCAGTGATAGTTCCAAATATACAAAATGTGAACAAGCCTTAACATTTTAACAAGTCTGTATATGTCAATAAGACTAAAGCTATGTCAAACAAAAAATTTTAAAACTTTTATTCGTTTTTGACAAAGTTTGTCAGTCCTACACACTTTAACGTGCCAAAATGTTAAGGATTGTTCATATATATATTATTTTTGTATATTTAAAACTACCCTGAGATTGGTCAATTTCAAACCTCTTCATTTATCAAACGAAGCCATTTTGACATCTCTATTGTCATTACCATTAGCCTTTTCCCGGTGGGGCGCGAGCTCTGGACCATCCTGTATAATATTATTCACGGTTTAAATGTTTTGATTTTTTTGTATAGTTTTTTTAACATTACAAATAGGTTTTTATGAATAATTAATGTGAAAGTTGAAATGGATTGACTTTATTGTAAAATACCCTTTTTTTATTTTGAATATCAATTTCTAAAAAAAAATCAGGCCAGAAAGTTGGCCAATGATGTATCACAAATTGAATTTAACAGAAATGGGCAATTATTGGTCATTCATTAATTTCTATATGATTGGTCAATAATTGCCCGTAAAAGCGGTCTCATCTGTGCCCAATAAGTAATTGCCCATTTTGAAATGGACAATTTTTGGTCAATTATTGGGAAGTTTGTGCTTATTGGGTAAGAAGGTATTCTTGTGGCTCAGGGCAGATAGCCTGAAGCACGAACAGAATGGTACCACATAAAATGAATGGTTCATACTCAGTTAAACGTACCTGTTAAAAGTACGAAGTAGAAAAGCACTAAAACTAATAGTTACGCACAGCAGTCACAAACTAACTTTAATTTGCATAAGCAGACGTACACGTTACACGAACCGCACACGAAGTAAACAACCTGGTTGTTCGTTTGCCAATGCTTACTAATTCTTTTTTTTTTGTTGCATTTTCGTTCTGCTTAATTAGTCTAACATGTAATATGGAAAGGGACAAAATATCAGGCTTTCAGGCATATTTAATATAATCATTGATTTTTAATGTGTACATATTATGGTTAAAAAAACGAAATTGTCCCACTGTTTATAAGAAAATTAATTGATTGAAAGAACAAAAACTTTCGGCCCTACAATCCTAAGTTCGGGTTCAAACCTTGCCCGGCCAGGGTAAAAAACTAAAAAAGAAAAAAACCGCTAATGACCAAGTAGTCGAAAAGAAACAAGAATAGGTGTAGTGGTCTGCTGAGTTTTTTTTTCCTGCTTTTCGACCCTTTCACCTTCTCAGTAAATAGATTTTGGTCGTTAAATTGTAGTACCTAATGTGCTTACCTGAAAAAAAAAACTGAAAAAGAAACTAGAAACAAATAAAGAAAAAACTGAAGAAATTAAAGAAGAAACCAAAGATGAAACTGAATTTCTTATTAAAGAGAAATTAAAGAAACTGAAGAAAAAAACTGAAGAAACTGAATGGGACATTAAAGAAAAAACTGAAGAAGAAACTAAATAAAAAACAAAGAGTAAACTGAAAAAGAAACTAAAGAAGAAACTGAAAAAAAACTAAGGAAGAAACTGAAGAAGAAAATAAAGAAGAAACCAAATAAGGAACTAAAAAAAATAAAAGAAACGGAATGAGAAATTTAAGATGAAACTAAACAAAAAATCAAAGAAGAATCTGAAAAAGAAACTAAATAAGAAACGAAAAGAACTGAAATAAAATAAGAAACTGAAGAAGAGGATAAAAAAACTGAAGAAGAAATTAAACCAAAGAACCAAAGAAGAAACTGAAAAAGAATCTGGAGAAGAGTTTAAAAAAGAAACTAAAGAAAAAACTGAAGAAAAAAAACAACGGGAAAATGAAGAAAAAACTACAGAAGAAACTGAAGAAAAAACTATAGAAAAAAAAACGATGAAACTGAAGAAAAAACTAAATAAACTGAAAAATTGTTAGTACCTCATGTGCTTACCTGTGTTATTTTTTCAGAATGCATTACGTATTCTATTGATTCAGCTTTATCTAAAATGGGCGTTTTAACTGTGAAAACGCTTCCACCAGAAGCGACAAAAATCATTGAATCTAGTTGAGAGAGCACCACGCAATCTAAGCTGTCTGATGATATAGCGACATCTCGGGTAATATTCGATGCCACCAATTCTCTCAATCGTCCATCATTACCTTTTATTAATATTATTAATATAACATTTTTATTATTGTGTAATGTTTTAAATTTTGTATTACCTACGGCGTATGTTGATTTTCCGTTGGAAGTCATGGCGCAGTCGTAAAATGAATTCGATTTTATTATAACCTCATTTATCCGCATCGAATTCCCCACGTCCCACTCGTATACAGCGCCCTCTGTGCCGCAGGAGCCCAGTATTCTATCTTCGGCCGCCCATGATAAACCTTTGATCTGCAAACAACACGTAAGCAACATGCAAATAAATGCAAAAATATATTTACGTACTCTTCCGTTGTGTCCTTTGTAAGTGAACAGCAAATTAAAGGAAACGCTCGAGTAAACTTGTATGATACTGACATTCGTAGCAGCAAAAACGTGACCCATCTTACTGAACTGAACCATTTTGCAGTTTCTGATCGGGAACTCCTTGGTCATCATGAAGTCATCGATCATTATGTTGAAATAGCGGAGCTTGTCCGTGAAGCCCACCACAGCGTAAAGACCTTGTACAAATGGTTATAGTTATACTTAGATACGGAGCAATCTCAAGTTTAAGCCTCGATATGGAGCTTAGTTTTTAAGATAGAAATGTGTGTATAAGTTTATTTTACCTGTGGGATGCAACGAAACAGAGGAGATGTCGTCGTTGTAACGTTGCATGAGTTCGAGCTCTTCGGTTTCGTAGTTCCATATTCTTAAGGTTCTGTCAGTCAAACCTAAATGTTTATAGTAATTAATACTACAAGGGGAAGTGTGAATGGAAATTTGCAGGATTTCTTTACAAAATCATAAATTGTATATCCTTATTTTGCTAGAACAGCAGAACCTTTCTGACATCAGATAGTTAGACAAAATGCCTATTTTTGATGAACTAGGCTTAAAAACTGTTGCTGCGCTAGATTTAAACCATTCTATAGGAAAATCTCTAAATTTACAGATGTTTCTATAGAAGAGTTTGAACAATGCTTGCAATTTTCATCAAACTATAAATATTTGTTATCTTTTAAGGAATAGATTCTGAAAATTTCATTGACCTTGATAAATGAGATTCCGAACATTCTGTTTATGATCGGAAATTTAATAAAATTAAACTAAAGAAAGTGAAGAAACTAAAGTAACTAAAAAAATGTCAAGAAACTAAAGACACTAAATAAGAAATTGAAGAAGAAACTGAAGAAAAAATTGAAGAAGAAACTGAAATAAAACTATAAAAAACTAAAGAAACCCTAATTCAAAGAAATTAAAAAAAAAGAAACCAAAGATACTAAAAAAATTAAAGAAACTAATAAAACTAAAGAGGAAACTGAAAATGAAACTGTAAAACAGAAATTGTAGAACAAACTGAAGAAGGAAATGAAGAACAAACTGAAGAAGGAAATGAAGAAAAAACTGAAGAAGAAAACAAATAAAAAACTAAAGAAACTGAAAAAGGGAAAGAAGAAAAAACTAAAGAATAATAATAATAATATATTTATTTAGCAAAAATGCTACATAGTTTACAAATGGCAAATTAACAGTATTAAGAATAAATAAATATATACATATACAAATGCATACACACACATACATAACTAAAATTAAAAATTTAACACATAACTTCTAATGAGTTTTTTAAACTGAGAAAGCTTATTACTTGTTTTTATCGTACTTGGGAGTTGATTATACTCAAATAGGCCCTTGAACAAAATAGTGTTTCTAAATTGATTCTATCAAGTAAAATAAAGTCGTTTTAATTTATTGTACAATAATTATGAATGTCCTTAAATAATTTAACTTTATCACATATGGGGCAAAATTTACCAAGTGTACCAGGTGAAAAAAATTTTGTCACCGATTTTGTTTAAACTTTACTTATTTGTTGTTCTTATAACGAAGAATCATAGCATAAATTTTTTTTGCTCTAGGATTGTTCATTCAAGAGTTATGGATTATTGAAATTTATCGATTTTTTACTTTTTGATGAAATCGCTTTTTATTTAAAAATTCATAACTTCTGTTCATCTCTTTATCAAAATATTTCAATTTAACCACCTTAAATGATTTTTTCCGTACTTTTCAATGGGCTTTACCGTTTTTGCAAAAAAATAAAAATTGCAATTTTTTCTTGAAATTTTGCAAAATTTTGCATTTTTTTAAACAATGTGTATTTTTTAATTTTTTTTTAAATAGCATAAAATCCAAGTTTATTATGTTACCTTTGAATAAAAAAAAATTTAGAGTGGGCCCGACATGTAGTAGGGAAGTTTTTCATATTTGAATGCCGCACGGTCTAGCCATCGAATAGCTACTACACTGCCGTATGCGTTTATACCTAGTAGATGCGAGTAAACAAATACAAAATGATAATTTAAAATGTAAAATTATGTTTGAGTAATCAATGATTTATTTTAAATATTTACACTGCCGCAGGATATAGTTTTTTAACTGTATTTTTTTGCACAAATTGTTTAAGCATGGGTCTACATAGATTTCGTAAGGAGGATCGATGATATTAAATAAAAAATTTATTGTTATAACCGTAACGGCTTGCCTATAAGCTGAATGGCGCCTTTACGGTTATAACAATACATTTTTTATTTAATATCATCGACCCTCCTTGCGAATTCTATGTCGACCCATGCTTAAACAATTTGTGCAAAAAAATACAGTTTATATACAAAAGTGCTCTTTTAGTTCCACCCTTACTTCTTAAGAAGTCCCATAAGCCAACTGAATGGCTTGTGCGGGTTAGGGGTAGGAACGGACCGCGGGCTTAAAGTCCCCTCCGAACGACTAATACACAATAAAAAAAACTATATCGTGCGGCAGTGTAAATATTTAAAATACATCATTGACTACTCAAACATAATTTTACATTTTAAATTATCATTTTGTATTCATTTACTCTCATCTACTAGGTATAAACGCATACGGCAGTGTAGTAGCTATTCGATGGCTAGACCGTGCGGCATTCAAATATGAAAAACTTCCCTTCTACATGTCGGGCCCACTCTAAATTTTGTTTTTATTCAAAGGTAACATAATAAACTTGGATTTTATGCTATTTAAAAAAAAAATTAAAAAATACACATTGTTTCAAAAAATGCAAAATTTTGCAAAATTTAAAAACGCAAAAACGGTATAGGTTTGTTTTACAGATAACATATTTAGTACTTCCAACATAATTCTACAGGTTGTCCCATAATTAGCGTGCAATACTTTAACAGAATATTCTACGTATAAAAAGAGGAAAAAAAGTTCCTATAAACATAGGTCAAGAAATGCTTTCTAAGGGAGATACAGTCCCCGAAAGAGGAGCCCCTGAGGATGGTTTTTATTTAATATATACAAAACCGTTCAAGATAGAAAACTGAAATTTTGGGAATTGATCAAAATTTTTATGGCCAATAAGATGTAATATTAACAATTTCAAAATTTCCATGATGGGTGGTCAGATAGATAGGGAATAGGGGTTAAAACCACCTCAACTTTTTTGTACGTGTCTTGTACAAGGATTTCATATCAGATTATAAAATTTTGGAGTTTTATAAATCAAAAAGGTCATCTTGTTTAACTTTCATATCATGCACCGTTTTCGCTTAAATTCGATTTGAAAATTACCTTACATGGCATAAAAATTCATTATGAAACTAGATAAAAAGATTCAGCGTAGGCCATCCCTGATAGCAAAATTTGATTCTAAGAATCTTCTAAGAAGATATGACCCGGAATAATGGAATATTCTTAGAACCTTCCCTTATTGCTAAGAATGTTCTTAGGGACTTTTAAAACATTCAATAGATACCCTTTTAATGATGCAATTAGATTCTTAGAAGCTTCTTAAAACCTTCCTAAACAGCATTCTAAGAACATTTTATGAATACGTTTTTGGAATGTTCTTAGAAGGTTTCTTATGGAGCTTCTAGGAAGCTTTTGAGAATATTTCCAAATATGTCAGATACCCACGTTCTAATATGCTGGATTCTACATTCGTAAAATTCTTCAGGAGGCGACAAATAGGCCTCACTGTCATAATATGACAGTGAAATGTATTTGTCGTCCCCTTAAAAAATTTTGCGACATATTAATATATATTTATTTAAAAATATTAAATAAAAAAATTGACCTCTAAACCATAAAAAATAAAATTGGAAAATTTTGTGGGATAAGTCAGATTAGATTGAAGTTGAAGATAGTTTTTAACATAAATTAAAATATAAAAAAACAAAATATTTCCTTATAAAATAATTCTTCATAAAAGAAAAAACAAAATAGTTCTTCATAAAAAAAACATTTTTCATTGTATTTAAGTTGGATAGAAGATTTTATGTAAAAGCCGGATAATTTAGATACCTATAGTAAAAGTATTTTTGTTATCGAATATTGTTTTAATTTGACAAATAACTATAAAAAAATATTTTGGGTTGTGTTTTTACTTAGTATTTAATACTAAGTATAGGCACCTTTATACGTAGATTATGGTATATTTTACTATTATATACGTACCCAACTGAACTGAATATGCTTAACAGAATGTTCCAGGAATATTCCTAAATGAACTTTCTATAGCAATTACTTTCTCAACATTCTAAGCATATATATTAGGGTGGAGTGAATTTTATTAAATTTATTAATTGATTTTTCCTATATTATTAATTGTTGACTAAAGGCGTAAAATGAATAAATATCGAAAAAATATTCCAATTTTTTAATATCTTGAGGTGGCGCATCAGTCTCGAAGTTTTGAAAATTCTAAAAAAATATTACTTTAATCAAAGTAATAAAAATAGCATTATTTATAAATAAAAAATTTATTTTAGTAAAATTAACGTGAAACGTAAACATATTTAATAGTAAATCATATGCTTTAAGTAACTTCAGGAGTGTTTATTGGTAGAAATGAGATCTTCTTTTTCGCGAAAATACTGACATTTGGTATAAAAATTTGGTAATTATTTTCTGACTTTAATTCTTGTTCTGATGAAACCATCTCTTGCTTCCGATCCACAAACCGAGTCTGAAGATTCAGTATACTGGTTATAACCAGTTTTACACAGCGTTCCACTGCTTGGGTGTGACACGGAAATTTTTGGAAATATAGGAAATGGTCACCCGAAGAAATCATATCGGTAATTTTTGTCATCGTATTTCATAGTCATAGGTGGTTCAGTTACCTTTTCTGTCGCCCAGTGAATTAACTCGTAAAAATGTAATGCTTCAGTATTTAGTTGTGGAAGCTTTAATTCCCGTAATCTCGAACATTTTGATTCTTTTCTCGCCTTTAATATTTTCGGCAATGCTATAGTTCTCTGATAGATAGATATATTGTAGGTAACATAGCTAGTAATAGGTTTTCGGGATAAATATTAGCTATAGCTTACAAAGATCCAGGCAAGCTAGCACATTCCCTATTGCTGACGTGGGCTAATAGTTTATATGGGGAGACAGCAAATCCATCGGAAAACCTAAAATAATTGGCTACTTTTATCATGAAAGTGTATGCCCCAACGTGGTTTTACATCAACACCAAGCCTACGTGCAAACATGGTCCTATTCACATATTTAATATGACTAAAAGAGCATTACACCTCCAGAAAAACTTGAAGGCCTTATAACTATAGTTATAAAGAATATTCAGCGAAATATTTATCCCGAAAACCTATTACTTGCTATGTTACCTACAATATATCTATGGATCAGAGAACTAGCATTGCCGAAAATATTAAAGGCGAGAAAAGAATCAAAATGTTCGAGATTACGGGAATTAAAGCTTCCACAACTAAATACTGAAGCATTACGTTTGTACCAGTTAATTCACTGGGCGACAGAAAAGGTGACTGAACCACCTATGACTATGAAATACGATGACAGAAATTACCGATATGATTTCTTCGGGTGACCATTTTCTATACTTCCAAAAATTTCAGTGTCACACCCAAGCAGTGGAACGCTGTGTAAAACTGGTTATAACCAGTATACTGAATCTTCAGTCTCGGTTTGTGGATCGGAAGCAAGAAATGGTTTCATCAGAACAAGAATTAAAGTCAGAAAATAATTACCAAATTTTGATACCAAATGTCAGTATTTTCGCAAAAAAGAAGATCTCATTTCTACCAATAAACACTCCTGAAGTTACTTAAAGCATATGATTTACTATTAAATATGTTTACGTTTCACGTTAATTTTACTAAAATAAACTTTTTATTTATAAATAATGCTATTTTTATTACTTTGATTAAAGTAATATTTTTTTAGAATTTTCAAAACTTCGAGACAGATGCGCCACCTCAAGATATTAAAAAATTGGAATATTTTTTCGATATTTATTCATTTTACGCCTTAAGTCAACAATTAATAATATAGGAAAAATCAATTAATAAATTTAAAAAAATTCACTCCACCCTAATATATATGCTTAGAGTGGATTAATTTTTACCAATAAACTTTGCACCTTCTAAGAACCTGCCTATAGGCCAGTGAGAATATTCTTAGGATTATGCTATATTTCTTTTAAGCATGTTCTTTAGAAGAAATATAGCATGATCCTAAGAATATTCTCACTGGAAGGTTTAAAAAACATTCTTAGAATAAACTGTGCTATCAGGGATGGAACACGGCCTGCCATGTTTAGGAAAAGTTCAAGATAGGTGACAGTTTCATTTAATAAGTGACAGGGTGTTTAAAAATAGTGTTTGAAATTACCCTTTTTAAGAAATCTACGCCGAAAGAGGAGCCCCTGAAAATGGTTTTTATTTTATATCTCCAAAACCGTTCAAGATAGAAAAGTAAAATTTTGGGAATTGATCAAACTTTTTATGGACAATAAGAAGTAATAATAACAATTTTAAAAATTCCTTGAGGGGTCCACCCCTCATGGAAATTTTGAAATTGTTTTTATCACATCTTATTGGCCATAAAAAGTTTGATCAATTCTCAACACGTACAAAAAAAGTTGGGGTGGTTTTAACCCATACTCCCTATCTATATGACCACCCCTCATGGAATTGTTATTATTACATCTTATTGGCCATAAAAAGTTTAATCAATTCCAAATTTTACTCTTCTATCTTGAACGGTTTTTGAGATATTAAATAAAAACCATCTTTAGGTGCTCCTCTTTCGGGGGCTGTAGATCCGTTAATCTAGTTTCATTACGAATTTTTATGCCAGGTAAGGTAATTTTCAAATCGATTTTAAGCGAAAACGGTGCATGATATCAAAGTTCAATAAGATGACCTTTTTTATTTCTAAAACTCCAAAATTTTATAATCTGATATCAAATCCTGGCACAAGACCCGTACAAAAAAGTTGGGGTGGTTTTAACCCCTACTCTCTATCTATCCGACCACCCACATGTAAATTTTGAAATTGTTAATATTACATCTTATTGGCCATACAAAGTTTGATCAATTCAAAAAATTTCAATTTTCTTTCTTAAACGGTTTTGGAGATATTAAATAAAAACCATCCTCAGGGGCTCCTCTTTCGAGGGCTGTAGCTCCCTTAGAAAGCATTTCTCGACCTATGTTTAGAGGAACTTTTTTTCTTATTTTTATACGTAGAATCTTCTATTAAAGTATTGCACGCTAATCACGGGACACCCTGTATACTGCATTTTAAAATAATTCTCATGGCCCAATTTTTTAATTATTTGGATTTTATCTTTTTTATAACTGGGCAAAACATATAAAAGTGTTGGACAAAATTGTAAATGAGGTGCTGTTAATGCATTATATAACAATATTATTATTAGAAGAAACTTAAGAAAAAACTGAAGAAACTGTAGAAGAAAATGAAAAAGAAACTGAAGAAGAAACTACACAATCTAAAGAAAACCAATAAACAAAAGAAACTAAAGAGGAAACTAAAAAACTGATGAAAAACTAAAAAAGAAATTGTAAAAGAAACTAAAGAAAGAAATGAAGAAAAAACTGAAGAAGAACCCAAATAAAAAAAACTGAAGAAAAAACTAAATAAACTGAAAAAGGAAAAAAAGAAAACACTGTGATATGTGATATTTATAAATGTGATAATGGTAATATGTAGTTATAGTATTAAGTTCAAATTTTGAAATTGTATTTAATACTAAATTTGTAACGTGTATATAGAGATGTCCCTCTATAAACAAGTTCACATTGTTTCTTGGGATGAATAAAGTATTTTTTTATTATTATTATTACTTAATAAGAAAATAAAGAAGAAACTCTAAAATAAAATGAAGAAAAAACTGAAGAAAAAACTAAGAAGAAACTGAAATAAAACTAAAGAAGAAACTAAAAAATAAACTGAAAAAAATCTAAAGAAACTAAAAAAAAAGAAACCCAATAAACCAAAGAAACAAAAAAAATAACCCAAAAATAAAGAAACTAATAAAACTAAAGAAGAAACTGAAAAATAAACTGTAAAAAACTAAAGAAAAAACCGACAAAGAAACAGTAGAAGAAATTAAAAAAAACTGAAGGAACTGTAAAAAAACTAAAGAAATTGAAAAAGAAAAAACTAAAAAAGAAATTGTAGAAGAAACTGAAGAAGAACCCAAATAAAAAACTGATGAAAAACTAATGCAACTAAAAAATGATATGAAGAAAAACTTAAGAAGAAAATAAAGAAGAAACTGAAGAAATTGTAGAAGAAACTAAAAAAGAAACTGAAGAAGAAACTAAACAATCTAAAGAAACTAAAAAACCAAAGAAACCCAATAAACCAAAGAAACTAAAAAAAACAAAAGAAACCAAAGATACTTAAAAAAATAGAGAAACTAAAGAGGAAACTAAAAAAGAAACTGTAAAAAAACTAAAGAAGAAACCGTAAAAGAACATGTAGAAAAAAACTAGAGAAGAAATTTAAAAAGAAACTGAAGAAGGAAATGAAGAAAAAACTGAAGAAGGAAATAAAAAAACTGAAGGAAATAAAAAAACTGAAATGAAAAATGTGAACAACAATCTGAACAAGAAACTGAAAAAAAGAAGAAAATAAATCTCAGATTTTTTTAATATGCCATAGTACTTTGTTGTAACCTTGAATAGAAAGTGTATACAAAGTGTACCTATATAGTTTATATCTTCATACCTGACGTTAGAAAAATAGTTTTCCAACTGCAAACAGAAATCCCACCAATTGGTCCATTGTGAAGAAAAGCCCCATATTCTTGTAGCACGATTTCTGGGGCTTGTGTTATGTCGGCTTGCCACAACCTAAAAAAAATCTAGTTGAATGGTTTAGAACACAGAATTTACATCATATGAGGATGTTAATAAACTCACTTGACAGTAAAAATTTGCTGTTGATCAGTGACAACCAAAAGCCTATCCTGAATAGGATTTGTGCTTATGCAGCTTACAACATTTCTAGCTTCCCTAACCTGGTCTTCATCTTCTTCACTATCTCTATTTGGGGTGAAGTCTGGTATAGTGAAAACATTTCTTTTTCTAAACTTGGTTTGCGACTCCTTCTCGTACAAATACACCTTTCCAGAGGTAAATCCAAACGCGAAGCCCTTGGATAAATTTGTAATCTCTTTTATTTCATAGTTTTCATCGTCCATTTGCTCTTCCATAGTGGGCATGGCAAGACTGGTAGTTGATCCGGCAGCCCTGTTTTTATAAAATGAATTTCATGAAATATTTGGTGAATACTGTAAAAATGTTGACTCGTCTTTAGAGTTTTTCAACGCATGTTCAGCTGTTTGCCAGGTCTTCTATTAGCATTTAAAGCTTTTACCTTCTAGCTTTATAACAATACTTATAAAGTTTATAATTGACAGGTAGGTATATTTACAAAGGATATAACATAAATATAATTTTATAAGCTTCTTTATTTCAAGCTTTTTAGGTGTTTATTTATACTTACTTTTTCTTTCTCCTTAGAAATTTAATAATCAATGAACAGTATAAAGAATGTTTTAAAATGCAAAATCAAACATGATACGAGGGTTAGCTATTTGTATTTTAATAATAGTCATCGTCTGCGACTTTTATCATTAAAATATAAATAGCATCCATATAAATTTAAAAACACGTACTCTTCCATAGCTTTTAAGTCGATTATTTCATCTGAAGTTGGCATGAAGACGTGTTTCAGATCACTATGTTCGAAAATCCAAATTTTGCCTTCGCTGCTTCCCGCTAGTAGCCTATCCTGCGACAACCAACATACCGAAGTGAATTTGGTACTTTCTGCTTTATTCCAACCCATCTGCTTCCATTGGGTCTCATAGGCAAGAATTTTGAAAAGCAAGTCCCCAACTACGACGCACATATTGTTGTCGTTAGGGTTGCAAGCAATCTATAGAAAGTTTGACGAAAATTAATAATTTAAATTCTTAATAAAAATTAGGTAGGTACCGTAAACACGGGTGACTTTGGCTCACTTTCAAACTTAAGCTTAAAATTTTTGTGGTTTTAACAATCATAAACATTAAATTTTGTATACCAAAATTTGAGTCTTGAGTTGCTCTTTCACAATAACTATGTTATAATATTACATAGGGCTGAGTTTCAAAAATAAAAATTAAAAACTGGGTGTGCAAAGTTACCCCCTGGTTGCGGGTTACTTTGTCTCACAGTGTATTTTCCTTATAAAATGAATTCAATATTATATTTTATTTTTATTAGACACGTGTTGCAGCGACATATATCTATTGCAAGGGATTACCAATTAAAAAAAATAAAAAATCGACCTGTAGTTAACCAAGGATCATCATTCCAATGGATTGCGCATAATATAGAAATTGTAACGCGTGTATTTCTAAGGGCCGGTTTTTCAATTAGGGTTTAAACCTTGGTTCAGGGGAACTTAGATCAGTTAATGAACTCAGTTCACAGTCAAATGAGTTTTTCAATGTCGACTCAACAGCAGTTAGAACTTAGATCAGCGGTGTCAACGTTAAGTTGGTACAACCGAATTTAGTATACGCCTACATTAATAGTAGTTAAAACTGTCATTTTGACAAAAGGATTTTGTGTTTACTTTTGGAGTTTTATTTATCTGTGCTGTTTTAAAAAGTTCTAACCTGTGCGAAAGGGTGCTTTAAAACAATTTACTATTGAGTCAATCCAAATGAAAACACCAAAAATGAATTTAAAAGTGCGCTGCATGATTTTTTATTGTAATGAAAAAAATTGAGGATGATCTTTTGGGTGTCAAATATGAAAATCCATTGCCGTTTTAATTTTTTGTTGCTTTACTTTTATTTGGCACCCCTTAGAAGTCTGAAATAGTGTCAATTTCTTACTCTCTTATAGTTGGCTAGAACTTTTTTTCTGTGACAAATATTGAAATAATTTTAATTTTGTTCTACTGTCGAGTAAGTCTGTTTTCGATATAAATTATTATTATCCAATTAGTTAATCTCATAAAAGAATGGTAAACCACTAAAGATTCATGATAATTTGCCAATTTTTGTGATTTTTGTCTGGCTCCTGTGCCTATTCTACTGAATTTAGAAGGTTCATTTTTTAAACAATAGAAAACGTAACTATTATTTTAAGTTTCTAGACTATCAATTTCTTTATTAAAAAAATGATTGAAAATTGATAATTCTCAAAATTAGCCAATTTTGCTCTCAGAAATCATTATGTTGAGAAAAAAATAAAAATCTGAAACTTTCAGGAAATGTAGTCCCCACCTTCATCTTTTCAGTCCAGTTAGTCTTGTTTTGTTATTTTTATTCCTTTAAAAGATATATTATTTTTTTTAATGCCCGTTTAGTAGCGATATTGTTAGTTTTATTTATAATTTAAAATTTAGATGGCTTTGACTTTGTCAATTCATGTTTGGTGGAGATGTCAGAACTGTCAAAAATATTTCATAAATTTTATTTGTGCGTATTTAAATTGTGATTTAAAAAAGTTTGCAAGTGTAATAAATGACGGAGTGTTCGAGATTCATGAATTTAATTGCAATTAAAAATGCAAGAACATATCATAATTTTGTACCTCTTTCTTATAGAAAATATTTAAGTTCTGAGAAGTTTTAAATTGTTAAAAATAAGCAAAAACCAAAAAATATTCTAAATAAACCCCTTTATTATAACATGTTTTATTTTAACCAGTTACCTAAAAACTAAAATTTAAAGAAGTATTTACAGATTGTGTAAATTTTTTCCAACACTAACATTTAAAATACATACATTTAACTTTTTACTATTTAGTGCCTTACTAAAGGGATCAAAATAATAGAACAAGACTAACTTGGTTTAAATTGTGAAAGAAACCGACAAAAAACTGCTTAACGCATTTTTTATACGTTTATTAATTTCACTTATTATACTTAACGATATAAAGCAAAAGGATCTTGAATATATTTTTTACATTATTCTTCTTTAAACACCAATTAGCCAATTAAATACTTCATTCTAATGTATATAATATATAATCATATATATATATATATATATATATATATATATATATATATATATATATATATATATGATTTTTCAATACATAAAATATAACATAACTACCAAAAATATCAGAACTGTCAAAAATATTTCATAATTATTATTTGTGGTATTCCCTTGGTGATTTTAAAAAGTTTTATATATAACATAACATATTATGTTAGATACAAAATTTACCAAAGAAATACGCACAAATAATATTTATGAAATATTTTTGACAGTTTTGACACTTCTCCACCAAACATGAGAGCCATCTAAATTTTAAATTATAACTAAAACTAACACACTGAAAAAATTTATTTAAAAATTTTTACTACTACGTAATTGTAATGTTTAATATACATTTACGATGCATAAAGAAAAACTAAGCATTTATCTAGTAATACTGCAACAAAAATGTAGCCTAAATTAGTATGAAATAATACATGCTTTAGTATTAATGGCGACCTAAAACCCTTAATATATAACAACAGGAAAAATGTCAAATATGTAACAGTTGTTATAGTAGGCTTAACTAAAACAGATCCTATTTAAAAGTATTACAAAATGCTGCCAAACTAATACCACATCGTTAATTTATAAACATCTCAGACAGATATTATAAGTAAATCAAGTAACAAGTAACTCTTCCGAATATGAATTCTTTTATCGGCACTAAAAATTTGTGGTAAGTATTACTACAACGTTCTATTATATCTTAGAAATTTTGAAGTTGGTAATACTAAAACAAAGATTATCTATACTGTTCATCTCGCACAATCGCCATTGTTGTTAGTAAGCTTGCATAAAGATGCCTCATTGGACGATTTACTAATAAATTGGAAGTTACAAAATTTAATTTGTATTTTTAAGGGTAAGTAAATACTTAATTATTTATGTATTATTAAGAATATATACCTTACATAACTTTAATTTACTTCATTGTAATATTACGCTTTTTGCTTTTGCTTGTAAAGGGGTACTTACTTCATTATATTTAATAGTTTGATGATCAAACTTTGATCAGTATCACCTTTAGGTTTATATGCGCTTGTAGCCTTTGCGTGGTGACGGGATAAACATTTTTGCCCTTTACCATAGAAAAACTATTCTTTTCTATGCTTTTCCGTAAAAAACCTATTTGGGTATTTCTTCTTACAGCCTGTAACTTACAGGTATTATTATAATAAGATTCAATGTTCAATATTTGTTTTGAAGAGTTTTGACGTTATTTTTTAATATATTAGTAATATCCACAGAACAAGTGTTCTGTGGTAATATCTATACAGTGGGGCTATGAGTTTGAAAACTTATAGCTAACCCTTTTGGGAATGACAAACACTTGTTTAATATTAAGTAAAATTTAACAAATAAGTAAATTATTTATTATATTTTTATTAAATGTTTTATTGTTACACCTTCTTATATTTAGTATATATATTGTATTATTGTTGGTTTAGGTTTTTATGTTTATCATAAAAGTTAAGGAGAAGATATCATTTATTTTATTCTAAGAATTTTATATATATTTTTTTAATAAAAATTTGTTGAAAAACATGTTCTCTTTTATCCTATAACCTTTACTGCATACTTTTACATAACACCAAAAAATCTATAATCGATAACCTTTTAATTCAGTATTTATTCCGTTTGGATGAAGTGACCAGATTTTGTCCAAAAATAGGGGGACATTTTGTATGAATTTATCTTAATTACAAAATTAACACAATGATACAATGCAAATTGAAAATTTGACGTTACTTAATTATTGTTGATTGTATCATTTTTGTAATTAAGGTTAATTTACACAAAATGTCCCTCTATTTTTTGACAGAATTTGCTAACTTTACGTTTGAAAGTAGTACTGCTTACCAAATATGAAAATTATTGGTTAAATACCGTAACATTAGTACATACTGGTTATACAAGTACTAAATATTACCCTGATAAGTTAATAAACAATAAATATTATTTTTTTTAATAGCATTTCGTTGTTATTAAATATATCTCACTTAAAGCATATTTCAAACGACTAAAGAATGTTCAGACTTACTATAATGCAGTAGTTACTATCAGAATTCGGTAATTCTATTTGATACCACAACGTTGTAGTACTGCTTAAGAAGCTATTAATGGTTAATATGTAACACGACATCTCATTTAACATTACTAAGACTTAAAAACATTTTTGTTGTGGTAATAAATACCACAAACATTTGCTGTCACCTATTTCAACCGTAACAATCTATACTTATTTAACAATTTTTCGGTAACGGCTAAGGATACATTTTTTCAGTGCAATATCGCTACTAAACGGCCATTAAAAAAATTAATATATCCTTTAACCCTAGATTACTAACCTTATTTTACTACTACTTAAATACTAACCATTCGTAAAGTTTACGATTTTTTTTTTTAATTAAAAAACCTTTATATGTGCAAATATTTTATTAAGGCAATTTAGGTAGATGTATTATTTAAGGTATAAAAAAGTAATTTCGACAAAAAAATAATAATTTTTAGGCTTTATCAAAGCAATTAACACAACAGCAAGCGCGATGCTCTGCGCAAAAGGCACGTTGACATTGCTTACAATATAATGAAGTCATTCGTCGTTTTTTTGAAGGACAAATATGACAAGTGGTACGTTTGGCTGCAGAAGGTTTTTCTTGAGGTTTCTGAAGTGAAAAATCAAGGATTTCACTAATCAGAACTTAAAGTGAAAGTAAAAAATACGTAAAAAATACGACGCCCCTTGAAAAACAGATATGCACACTGCACTAATAATCAAATTTTTTTGCGGTTCCCACTCCTTTAACTATAAAACGAAGCTAGACTGACAGCCAATGTCGTACCAGTAAAACAACGTTGCCGGTTTTCAATAAACAAATCACTTTCGTAAATTTTACGAATGGTTAGTAATGTAGGGTTAAAGGAATAAAAATAACAAAACAAGACTAACTGAACTGAAAAGATGAAGGTGGGGACTACATTTTCTGAAAGTTTCAGATTTTTATTTTTTCCTCAACATAATGATTTCTGAGGGCAAAATTGGCGAATTTTGAGAATTATCAATTTTCAATAATTTTTTTAATAAAGAAATTGATAGTCTAGAAACTTAAAATAATAGTTACGTTTTCTTTTGTATAAGTACTTTATACCTGAAAAAAATGAACCTTCTAAATTCAGTAGAATGGGCACAGGAGCCAGACAAAAATCACAAAAATTGGCAAATTATCATGAATCTTTAGTGGTTTACCATTCTTTTATGAGATTAACTAATTGGATAATAATAATTTATATCGAAAACACACTTACTGGACAGTAAAACAAAATTAAAATTATTTCAATATTTGTCACAGAAAAAAAGTTCTGGCCCACTATAAGAGAGTAAGAAATTGACACTATTTCAGACTTCTAAGGGGTGCCAAATAAAAGTAAAGCAACAAAAAATTAAAACGGCAACGGATTTTCATATTTGATACCTAAAAGATAATCCTCAAATTTTTTCATCAAAATAAAAAATCACGCAGCGCACCCCATTTGGTGTTTTTATTTGGAATGACTCTATTGTTAAAGAACAATAATTATTATTTATTATGGATAAAAATCTTCTTCTTTTAAGGAGGAATTATTTGTATGTATTTCGTTTTATAGTATAAAATGAATTTGTTGTTTTTTGTTACATCCACTATCCTACGTACAAAAGGTTTGGAAAACCGAAATCTGGCAAAAAATTCATCATTATTCCACCTTTCAAAATGATTCGGTCTTACCTGTGGCCTGTGCACACGAAGTTATATATTATTTAGGAATTCGCCAATTTCCTCATCATCCTCACTAACTACCTCATTGGTTTATTATAACAGCAGATCAAAAAACAAGAAATAAACAACGTAATACACAATAAAGCAGAGAAAAATTAAGTTATGTCAAGTTGAACTTCGTTTAAACGGCCAACAGTGACGGTTCATCTTTTGATTTAGTTTAAACCAAATTCAAGCTTGAACTTTGATTGAAAAACAGCATATTTTTTTTGAACCAAGTTCAAATGCTGAACCAAGTTTAAACTATGATTGAAAAACCAGCCCTAACTTAGGGCCCCTAAGAGTTTTGCACTGATGCGATATATACAATTTTAAAGTGTAATAAATCCCATTTCTTTCTTTAAAACACTGATTTTCCTGTAATATAAACTCAATAGAATCGCTCAATTGACAGTTTTAGACCAACAAATTATAAATGTTAATTTTATCGAGCGCGAAAAGATTTTTCATAAATGGGTTAAAGTCACCCGTGTTTAGGGTAATAATAATAATAATTATTATTATTATTATTGCGCTTTACAGTACCTAGTCTTTGTTTCTTATGGCATTACCTGTTTAACAATTCCAGTACCAGTTATATTGATGGCTCTCCCGGACGACAGCAATTTGCCGTTGTCAACCTTAAAACAGTACAGCTGCCAGTCGGGTTCGCCAGTAACGCAAATTAAGTTTCTTGTGTCAAAAGTGAAACACATGGCGACGTAATGCGTGGCGACGATATCTCTATCTGTGGGCAGCTGAAAGCTTCGTTTTCTTTTGAGAGTGGAGGGGTCCCACAGGGTTATCAACGGTAGCCGATCTGTTGCTGACTCGGCTACAGCTATTAGTTTTCTAAGAACAAGTCATAAAGTTTGTATTTTAGGCTTCTACAGCACACTTACTTGTTGGGGCTGACCAGAACATGCGTTAAATTCTTCCCCCTGTCAGCCAATCTAATAAACTTCTGTTTCTTCTCATTAATATTATGAACTGCGACGACTGATCCGACTGGATACACAACATAATCATCGGATAAAAATTGAGCGCTACCATTAACGTTGGGTTTCAAGCCCAAAAACAGCCTCGGCGTTAACGTTGGCATGGAAGATTCCATGTTTTGTTATTTCTTTAAAATTATTCTCGATATAAAATTGTAAAACCATGTAAAGACTGTGACGTTAAGCCTTCACAGTTCTGAATATAGGTTAAATTAGGACAGCGTCGTCAAGGTAATGCTTTGATTGTTTAGTCAATGGTTGTTTTGGAATTTTACGAACATTCCATAGTCGGTTTTTTCTAGGCCTTATCTTGTTACACAAACTATTCAAAAACTAATGTCATAAAATGACATTTTCTCGCAATTTACACTATATAATATATATTATATATCGATGGTTATTTGACAAAACATCGTAAGCGACAAAACCTAAATTTTACAGGAGAGATTTTTTTTGTGTGGGAGCTTTATTTTTAAAGTTATTTATCTGAAAACTGGTGAGGCATTATTTTATTAATGTAGAATTCAAATATTTAAGTTAGATCAACTCCAATCTAAAATTTTCATTAAATTTTGTGGCATACGATATTTTATAAGAACATCTTTAGGAAAATGTAAAATTAGTCTTGTCGCTTAAGTTACATTTTCGAACAAACAAACTTCTGTCATTTAAAAAAATGTCTGTACAAACCAACCCTTAGGGACATTTTTGACAAGATGACAAGCAGTTTCAAAAAGTAGACAGAGAATCTAATCTTAAAACAACACAATCAACAATGAAATACGTCAAACTGACAACTTTCAGAAAGTAAGGTTAGTTGTCACTAAAGGCAGTTTTACATTTTAAAATCAACTGAATGACATGTCGTTCGAAATTTTTTGGCCGTCATTGTACCGTTATAAATTTGAGTCAAATTATTTGACGTTATAACAACATAGAATTACTACAAAAAACCACTTTTAACGAACCACACTACGTAAAAACAATTATAATTAGGATAACTATTAATATTGCAATAATAAAAAGGAATTATAAGCTTTTGATCAAATAAAATATTGTTTTAAAACTTGGTAGCAATCACAATCCACATTGTGGAACCACTTTTAACGAACCACACTACGTAAAAACAATTATAATTAGGATAACTATTAATATTGCAATAATAAAAAGGAATTATAAGCTTTTGATCAAATAAAATATTGTTTTAAAACTTGGTAGCAATCACAATCCACATTGTGGATTGTGGTAGCAATCACCACGATGCAGGTATACTCACGAACAAACTGTTTAGAGCGGGAATAACGCCTTGATAGATCAAGGAGGGAGCACAATATTATCGTAAGCGACACAATGTTAAATCGCAAACGCCATGTCTCGGAGTTGCTTACGATTGTTTGTCGGGAACATATAGGCGCTTACGTTATAAATCGGTAACAAATTAAAAAGAAGAGGCGCTTACAATAATAAAAATATTCAAACTGACCAATATTAGATTCCAAAATTGGAATAACTATTATGTTAACATGTGCAGCTTATCGTAACTGACACTTTGATAAAATAAAAAGTAATTCAACAAAATTGTGGCTTACGATGTTTTGTCAAATAACCATCGATATATTATACAGTGACCGGGAAAAAATTCATTAAAAAATGTGCCTTTTTTCTCCAAAAACTTAAACACGCAAATTTTTGCAGATTCGAATAGATTATGAAATTCTGAATTCAGCAATATGCACAGGTATACATACCTGTCGGGATGATAGTTTTGGGTATTATTAAATTTAAAAGTTCGTGATTTAATCATATACTTACCACACATATACCGCTTATTGCCTATATTTTAAATAAACTGCGCACCACTCAATGTGTCGCGACCAAAAATTTCGTCCATTTTCAAAACGACATAACTTTTTTATTTCTTGAACGATTTTATTTTGGTTTGTGATGTCTGCTAGCCCCATTCTCTGGCAATTCATGCTATAGATATGAGGCTCACAGTTCTTCAAGTAAATTTACTACAGGGTGATATGTAAAACAGTGAAAAATTTCAATAACTTCATCCAAGTCCCGTTTGTAAAATAAATATTTTTTTCTCGTTTTTACTTTGAAATAATGAAGTATTATGTCTTACCTTGAATCGTTTTTCAAATTTTTCGAATTGGAATCTTAGCAACAAAAAAATGATTTTTTTTCAATGGAGTACATTTGATGCTTTTTTGTAGGCAATACACTCAGCCTTTTTAAGAACAAAAGGATAAGATGGTGAAAGATTGTTCCTTGAATAATTCTGAACAAGCGACAAGCAACAAACTTCCATTATTTTCAGAGGAACCTAAGCAAAGACCACTTTTTCAAAATAACATTTTGGTGAAAATTTTCGAAAATTAAACCTGAACCGATATTTACGTTCGTGACATGTTTTCTTCATAATTTTGACCTGATTGTAATTCAGTTGTCAAATTTAGGTTTCAGATAAAACCAAAATCACCAAGAATCAAAATTCGAAAACAATTCCTGGATGTTAAATGTCTCGTTAAAATCTGATTGTTGGATTTTACTGTTTTTTACTGTGTTTTGCATTTTTAGTACGTTATTTTCATGTCACTGAATGATCAAATCAAGGATCAAATGATGAAAATTAAATGCCAATAATTTGGTGTTGGTGGACGACAATGCCCGTCCACATCGCGCTTATATCGTAAATGAGTATTTAAGAGACCATGATATTGAGAAAATGAATTGACCACCTTTGTCTCCGGATATGAATCCTATTGAGCATGTGTAGAGCAGGATGAAACTGAAGATGAAAGAGAGGAAAGGACGCATGGAAAATTTAGATGAATTGGCAAATTCGATTCAGGAAGAATGGGAAGCCATACCCCAGAAATTTCTAAGGAACTTGGTCTAGGGAATGCTCAGGAGGGTTAACGAATTATTACGGGATGGGGGCAGGGCCGTACCGAGGCACACTTTTTTGGGGGGGTGGAGATGATAAAAAAAACCAACTCATTTTTTTATCGATACTTTAGTAGTAATAGTAAAAATTTTCAGTAGTTTTATCATGAATGTAAAGTGTTGTAAAGTGTAGATAAAGAATGTCTTTACCTACCATTAGCATGCTCTTTCGAAGTCGATGGGATTGATTCTCGTTCTCTATTTTTTTGATTTGCTGCCAATGTAAGTGGATTATCCGGAACAGTAACAATTTTAATTTTAACCAAATTTCCACCGTGAATATTTTCCTCGTGCATTTTTTTCCAGGCCTTGTTAAACACAGATCCACATAATGAGCTTTCTTTTCCATATTAAAAAAAAATTAATTCCTATTTATTGACACTAGTTTTACTTAGCTTAGATAAGCTTTAACTAATTAATATTCTAGAAAAATAAGACGCCGAAAATTGCGGTGCGTAAAAAGAGTCAAACGCCGCCAAAACCAAAGACAAAGCCGCGAGGCGGTGCCGACTTTGTGTGAAATATAATGTCCTTTAATAAAAATAAGGTTGACCAATACAATTTTCTTGACGGTAACGATTATAGGAGGTTACAATAGATTAAAAATTATAATTTTTGTAATATTTAGGTAAAGTTTAAAAATTATATTTCATTTTATTTATTGCGTTGGTAGGGTAGGTATACCACACCAACCGACCCAAATACTATATATTTTGCCAGCCGTGTTTGGATTTGGAACCAACTGCCAACACTTTGAGGGGGGTGACTCCCCCCCCTACACCCCCCTTAGGCCCGGCCCTGGATGGGGGAGGGACAACGAAATATTGAAAGTTATTATTGTTATTGTTTGTTACATTTTTCTGTTGAATGTTGTAGTTTTTATTATGATTATACCTTCGCATAAAATTTTCAATAATAAACAAACAAATTTTGTATTTAACTTTATTAACAATTAGGTAGGTACTTATCAGTAATAAGTTATCACTAGTGCGCAATATAAATGTAATTTATGTAACATTATCCTAACCACTCAAACAAAAACGAATCCCCAAATGGCATTGGCAAAGGCATGTTATTGAGACATTTAACAGCCGGGAATTATTTTTGAATTTTGATCCTTGGTGATTTTGGTTTCATCTAAAACTTAAATTTGACAATTGAATCACATCAGGAGGTCAAAATTATAAAGCAAACATGTCACAAACGTAAATATCGGTTCAGGTTTAGTTTTCGCAAATTTTCTCCAAAATGTCATTTTGAAAAAGTGGTCTTTGCTTAGGTTCTTTTGAAATTAATGGAAGTTTGTTGCTTGTCGCTTGTTCAGAATTATTTAAGGAACAATCTTACACCATCTTATCCTCTTTATCTTAAAAAGGCTCAGTGTATTGCCTACAAAAAAGCATCAAATGTACTCTTTTGAAAAAAAAAATCATATTTTTGTTGCTAAGATTCCAATTCGAAAAATTTGAAAAACGTTTCAAGGTAAGACATAATACTTCATTATTTCAAAGTAAAAATGAGAAAAAAATATTTATTTTACAAACGGGGCTTGGATGAAGTTATTGAAATTTTTCACTGTTTTACATATCACCCTGTAGTAAATTTACTTGAAAAACCTTGAGCTTCATATCTATAGCATGAATTGCCAGAGAATGGGGCTAGCAGACATCACAAACCAAAATAAAATCGTTCAAGAAACAAAAAAGTTATGTCGTTTTGAAAAAGGACGAAATTTTTGGTCGCGACACATTGACTGGTGCGCAGTTTAGATGACCTTGTTCCCGTTTTTAAGGAGAGGGTGGCTACTCTCTACCTTTTGCGCACGGTCAGTTCAGTGGTAAGTATATGGATTTAATAGTATATTATGTATCAAGTTTAATAAACGCCATTTTATACACGAATTTAATTTATATAGAGCGCCATCTATGAAACAATAGGGGAATCTGCGTGTCACCTTCAAATGTCAAGTTTTTCATAATGAAAGTAAAGAAAATGTTTTATGAGCACTTTACAGTGGAGTCCGTGCCCGAATTTAAGTAATAGTTTACTTCCGGCGAAATTAAAAGGTCAGTACAATGTTCGTATAAACTTTTCAAATATTGGCGTTGAGAAACTATTTAATACTTTTGTATTTTTGTATTGAGATAATAAAATAATTTTCACATTTAGTATTATTTTACAAGAAAGGCACTTTATTTTAACGATTGTATGACATTTGACAACTGTCAACT